CCCAAAGTTACCACTTTATAATATTTGGATCCAGTTTCAAATAACAATCACAACAACAACAAAATCACAAAGCATTTAAGAAACAGGAAGGTCTAGCTCATTCATGGGAACAAAATAAATTCACAGAAACCATCCTTGAGGAAGCCCAAACATTAGACTTAGTTTATAAGACTTAAAACAACTGTTTTCTTCTCTAATGCACATGGATACTTCTCCAGTTATACCAGGTTAGGTTACAAAACAAGTCTCAATAAATTTAAAAAGATTAAAATAATACAAAGTAGCTTCTCTGATCTCAATGGAATGAAGCTGGAAATCAGTCATAGAAGAAAAACTGGAGAACTCAGAAATATGTGGAAATTAAACAACACACTCTTAAACAACCAATCAGTCAAGAAAAAAATCAAAAGAAGAAATAGAAAATACCTATAAACAAATGAAAACATAAACATAACATATCAAACCTTGTGGGATGCAGGAATGACAACACTCAGAGGGAAGTTTATAGTTGGAAACATCTACATTAAGAAAGAGAAAAGATCATGAATCAGTAACCTAACTTTACACCTAAGGAACTAGAAAAAGAACCAACTAAACTCAATACTTTCAGAAGGAAAGAAAGGATAAAGATTAGAGTTGACATAAATGAAATAGAGACTAGGAAAAAAACAGAGCAATTCAACAAAACCAAGAGTTAGCTCTTTGAAAAGATCAACAAAATTGACCAACCTTTACTAGACTGACCAGAAAAACAAAAAGAGGAAGTGGGGAGAGAGAGAAGACACAAACAACTAAAATCAGAAATGAAAACAAGGATATTGTTGTTGTTGTTGTTGTTTGCCATCGAGTCGGCCCCGACTCATAGCGACCCCTCCTTGGGTTTCCAAGGCAGTATCACTACGGAAGTAGGATTGCCCAACCTTCCTTCCGAGGAGTGGCTGGTGGGTTTGAACCGTCAGCCTTCTGGTTAGCAGTCAAGTGCCTTTAGCCACTATGCTACCAGAGATATTACTGAAATAAAATGGATTATAAGAAAATATTAGGAACAATTATATGCCAACAAGTTAGATAACATAGATAATATGAAGAAAATCCTCAAAACACACAAATTACCTAAACTGACTCAAGAAACAGAAAAACTCATCTTTAAACTTTAAACCAAAAATACCCAAGTCTTCTTAAAACCAAACAATAGTTTAGCTTAACTAATAGAGGAGAGGAAACTCAGGCATGCCCAAAGCAGCAGTGAGGGAGAGCAGGAAAAAGGGGATTAAAAGCCAGGAACTCGGACAGAGGAGCAGTCAGCTGCAGGAATCCAGGTGAGGAGAGGAACTCAGGCACACCCAAAGCAGCAGGGTGGGAGAGCAGGAGAAAGGGGATTAAAAGGCCTAGGAAATCTGGAAAGAGGAGTCAGCCACAGGGACCCAGGTAAGGGTGGTACGAAAGGTTTCCAACAGGGAGGAAAACTTGTCTGTCAGTTTGCCCTACCGTGGTGACATGCTGATGTGAGTTTTGAGGCTGAGCCACTGGTGTTTCTAACCCAGCAGGATGCAGATGGTGCACAGGTATCAGCCCAGCTTACAGACTGAGACAGACTAGGAAGAAGGAAGAGGCCGTCTACTTCTCAAATAATTGGTCAGGGAAAACATTATGAATAGCAGTGCATGGGGTCAATATGAGTCGGAAATGACTCGAAGGTACCTAACAACAACAACAATAAAGAATGTCAGCCTTGAGCATTGTGTTCTTTTAATATCTATCAGTATGGGATCAAATAGATAACAGCAACTCAAAAGATTAGATAGGAAGCTTAGAGAGCAGTGAGTTTATATTAATGGGGGAAGAGCAACTTGGAAAAGGAAGTTGAGATGGTTGCATAACTCAAAGAATGTAATTAGTATCACTAAATTGTACATATAGAAGTTGTTGAAGGGGTGTATGCTTTGCTGTGTCTGTCCTCAACATCAAAATAAATACATAAACTAAATTAAGGGGGGGGGGGAGAAACAGAAAATCTCAACAGATCTATATAGTAAATAAAGACAGAATCAGTAATTAAAAAACAAAACAAAACAAAACAAAAAAACACCTCCCAACAAAGATAAGTCCAAAACACAATGGGCAGGTGGCTTCACTGGTGAATCTATAAAGCATTTAAAAAAGAATTAACACCAATTTTTCTGGAATGCTTCCAAAAATGGAAGAGGAGGAAACACTTCCTAACAAATTTTATGAGGCTAGGATCACTCTGATATCAAAGCCAGTAAAGAAAGTTATCACAAGAAAATTACCAGACCAATATCCCTTATGAATGTAGATGCAAAAATTTCTTAACAACATACTAGTAAACTGATTCCAATAGCATATTAAAAGGATTATACACCATAACCAAGTTTGATTCATCCCATTAAAGCAAGTGTGGTTCAACATTATAAAATCTATGAATGTAATATACTACATTAATAGAATGAAGGGGAAAAAAATATCAAGAAAAAAAAGATCATTTCAATTGATGGAGAAAAGGCAAAATCTAACACACTTTTCATGGAAAAAAAACCCCAACAAACTAGGAATAGAAGGGAAATTCTTCAACATGATAAACAGCATTTATGAAAAATCTATAGCTAACATCATATTCAATGGAGAAAGACTTTTCCTGTAAGACCAGGAAGAAGGATGTCTGCTTTCACCACTGTTAACAACATTTTATTAGATATTCTAGCCAGAATATTTTTTTAAAGTTTTTTTTTATTGTGAGTTGGGTGAAAGTTTACAGAGCAAATTCATTTTCCGTACAACAGTTCATACACATTTTATCTCATGAAATTGACTGCAATTTCCCCACAATGTAACAGCTCTCTTCCCATTTCTTCCCCATAGTGACAACTTCCCTGTGTACCTTCCCTCCCATGCACTCCTGCCCCCTGAGCAGTCTCCCTGTACACACTGCCCTTCTGTTCTCCCAAAACTGATCTCTCCAAACAGTCTATCTACCTTATGTAAATGGTCAGCCCATATGCTCATCTTTTATTTGGCTAGAAGCCACAGAAGTGAGTTCAGTTCCAGACCTGAAGGACAGATAGGGGTCATGGTCATGGTCTCAGGGGTTTCACCAGGCTCTATCAAACCAGCAAACCTGGTCTTTTTTTTTCTTTTCATAATTTTGAGTTTTGTTCCACATTGTTCTCCCACTCTATCCAGGATCTCCTACACAGATCCCTCTCCGATTGGTTGACAGTGGTACCCAGTCACCATCTAGTTCTTCTGGTCTCATGGTCACATAGGCTGAGGATTGCATGATCTACCAGTTCTTCCATGTGTCTTTGGTTTTCTTCATTCTTCTTTGCTCTGGATAAGGAGAGACTCATTGTTGCATCTAGATGGCTGCTTGCAAGCTTTTAAGATGCCAGTCACTACTCACCAAAGTAGGATGTGCCTGGGGGCTGTCCTCTGGGACCATGGTCCTGAGCCCATTGGTCCAACTACTCACTCCTCAGGGTAGCTGACTGTGGCCAAGAAGTCACCACAACCTTGTCCCTTGTCAGCTCTACTATATACCTGGATATTCCTTCTTATAGCACATACAAATACGCTTGTAGAAACATTGTCTACCAACCCTATACGTGGTCATTGGCACACTCCCCCCTGCCCAGACATACCTGATCGTTCAGCCTGTCTACCCATCTATCTACCATAGATCAACATTTGCCATTACTGACAACGTAGTACTTTATGTGCACAAAAGGGTTCATCTTTGTTGTCTGTCCCATGTACCTCTCTATGTCTTCCTCTTCCTCAGTGCAACTGTGTTGATCACTCACATTTGGTGCATTGCCTTTCCCTTCACCCAAATCAATACTTGTATCTACCTATCAAGCAGTGTTCCCTCCCCTCCTCTTCCACCCCTGGTAACTGACAAAGACAGTTTTGTTCCACATATAAACTTTTACTTTAATTTTCACAATAGTGGACTAATACAATATTTGTCCTTCTGTGATTGACTTATTTCACTCAGCATAATGTCCTCCAAGTTCATCCATGTTATGCAGTGTTTTGCAGATTCTACAGTACTCTTTAGGGTTGCATACTATTCCATTGTGTATAGCTACCATAGTTTGGTTATCCATTCTTCTTCCATCTTTTTGCTATTGTAAATAGTGCTGTGATGAACATGGGTGAGCATATATCTGTTCTTGTCCTGGCTCTCACTTCCTTAGGATATATACCTAGTAATGGGATTGCTGGGTCAAATGTTATTTCTAATTCCAACTTTATAAGGAATCACCATACTGCTTTCCACATTGGTTGTAACATGTTACAGTCCCACCAGCAGTGTATGAGAGTCCCAATCTCTCCATATCCTCTCCAGCATTTGTTATTTTCTGTTTTGTTGAACTTTGGTATTAGTGCTGGGGACAGACGGTATCTCATTGTTGTTCTGATTTGAATTTTTCTAATTCTAGCCAGAATTTTTAAGTAAGAAAAAGAAATAAAGACATCCAAATTGGGATGGAAGAAGTAAAACTATCTCTATTCATACATGACATGATCCTACACATAAAGAAAATCCCTAAGAATCCACAAGAAAGCTACTAGAACTAATAAACTGCTCACTAATTCATTATATGAATTCCTAACTTTTCTAACATAGAACAGTTTGGTCTAGTGAACCATTTTATATAAATGACAACATTATTTTATATGCTTCAAAGGAAGCCCATGCTGAAATTTATGTTTCATTGTGACTAGATGAAAGAAGCTCGGTGGCTGAAACCCAACACCCACTCCATGGAAGGAAGATGGGGCAACCTACTTCTGTAAATCCAGTGGGGGTCTCTATAAGTCAGAATCGACTCCATGGCAGTAGGTTTGGTTTAGTGACTAGATGAATTTTTGAAGATATTTAATTTGGAAAGAAAAGGAGAAGAGTTTATAAGTGAACTATACACAATTCAAAATCTCTTCAAGATTTGTGGGGGAAAAAATGACATTACTCTTACCTTCTGCACAGGAACATGACATTCAGGTTCTGCCACAACTGTGTCAGTATCACCAAACTGATGGATCACAGGTGGGTCATGCAAGCCTTTTTCAGACTCACCTAGATGTAAACATTTTTAAAATAGTATAAGCAAGATATTTCATCATGCTTGTCTGGAATTTTCTTTCTTTTCTTTCTGGGTCAGAAACTCTGAAAATAAAGTGACTAATTCCTTAATAAGTCTTAAGTTTGGAGTATTCTAGGTTGGGGACTTGCTTTACTGCAAAATAAGCATTTCTCTATTATTATTATTTTTGTGTGTGTGAGCATGAAGTTTAGCAGACATTGTAACTCACACATCAGAATTCATTTTTACCAGTTTCCACGGTATAGCAGCTGTCCAGTATGAAGACTGACCTCAGCTCTAGGAATAGGTCTTGAGTAGCCCAAACCAATCATGGTAATCCTATCCCCCTACCAGTAACTCATCTAGGAAAAAGCAAGTCTAAGCCAATGTAGGGCTTCCAAGGAAAGATGGTGCCTGGTGGTCAATTTGAGAACAAAGAAAACAGAGAACGGAAAAACTGAGAGAGCAGGTGCTGACTAATGGCTAGTTTAATAGCTAGCAAAAGGACAGGAATGAGAAGTGCAAAAGGTTTGTTTCACCATCTGTAATGAAGAGAAGAAGTTACACAAGTCCATTTTAGTTCTTCAGCTTTCATCCAAATATTTCATTTCTTATTATGGATGAAGATAACTACAGAAACAGAGTTCAAGCCCTAATCAAGTCAACCCTAAATGATTGACCTACCCTTTGATTACTAGTTAATTAAGCCAGCAAAATTCTTTATTTTTTTAAGCCAATTTGAGCTGAGTTTTCTGTCATTTGCAAACAAGAGCATTCTGAACTATGACTTAGTTGGGTCATTTCTGCTTTAATTCTCTCTAGTCCTTGTCTATGAGTCCTAACTAGTGGCAAAAGAACAGAGGAAAAAAAAAAAAAAAGTACTTACTGAGTTTCTATCTTTGTTAATTGACTCCTCTAGCTTACAAAATTCTGGCCACTTATATATTGTAGAACTTACAAATAAGCTTTGAGCACTCATCTATAAGTCCTTTTAATACAAGGCTACATTACTATTCAATTATCACAATATATTCCTTGCCTGATTCTCTGGTTAAATCACACTAGTAGAAGCTGAGGTTAGAAGAAGGAAAGAAACATCAAGGAGACAGAGGTGACAGGAACACTGTCAAAGGGTACATGAATGAAAGAATAAAGATTAAATTTGAATATCCCTACACAGTCCAATGCACCTGTTTCTTCTGATCAACAGAATATTGAAAAATATGGAGACTATCTAAGACACAGCTATTGGTCTCTACTCACCCAGAGCAAAAGACAAAGAAGAAAATCAAAGATTCAAAGAAGAAACTACTCTATAGGACTAAGTCTACACATACAACAGCTTCACCCACCTTGAGACCAGAAGAACTAGATAGTGCCTGACTACTACTACCAACTGTTTCAGCAAAAGATGTAAGAGATGGTCTTGGACAGAATGGGAGAAAAGTAGAACAGAACTCAAATTCCTAACAAAAGGGAAGACTTACTGGACTGACAAAGACTAGATGAACCCTCGAGACTATTGCTCAGGGATATCCTCTAAACTTGGAATGCAAACCATTTCCAGGAGTCACTTTTCAGCCAAATGACAGACAGGCTCATAAAATAAGTATCACTTGTGAGTAATGTGCTCCTCTAAATAATCACCTAAATGAAACCAAATGGTAAACATTTACCCTAGACCAAAGATGAAAAGGTAATGGGGACAGGGAAGCTAGATTAAAGGAAACAAAACAATCAGAATACAAAATGAGAATACTGACTGTGGTAGTTAAGGTTATGTGTCAATTTGGGTAGGCCTAGTTTTGAATGGCTGGGCAGCTGGATGTAGTTATTCTCCATGATGAGATTGGTAATCAACTCCATGGTGGAATCTACTGGAGCAGCTGAGTAGCTGCCTTAGGGATGTAGCTGGCTTCCAGTATATAAGGAGAAGTTTTGAGAAAGGTCTCTGCAATTTTTTGGCATACTTGGACCCTGCATGTAGCCAAGTGTTCATTTAGCAGCCTGCCATGTTTCCTGCTGATCTTGAGACTGTCTCTCGACTTGAACTAGTGGCCTGCTGTGTTGTTTGATAATCTTGGGACTGTGTCATTTTATTTGTTGAACTTGGGTTTGTTAGCCTCAGCAGCTGCTTGAGTTAAGAAAATCCTTCAGCTTCAGGGGGCCGGGAGCAAGAGGCAGAGCTGAAGCTCAAGGGTGAGGGGCTTTCACCCAGCCCCTAGAGCTAGCCCTTTGAACTGACTTCCAGCCTCCTAAACTGTAAAAGAATAAACTCCTGTTTGTTAAAGCCATTCATTTCTGGTTCTTCTGTTAGAGTGGTATTAGTGAACCCAAACACTGACATATTCTAAAAAATGTAACCGACGTCACTGAACAATATGTATAGAAATTGTTAAATGGAAATCTAATTTATTGTGTAAACTTTCACCAAAAACACAGTAAAATATTTTTCAAAAAGAAAAATAGAGAGAAAACCTGTAAATATAGAACTATATTCCTTATCTACTTGGGGCTGGATATACTTAGGAAGTGGAAAGATATATGGAAAATGAAGTAAATTCTTAAATGACTCAGTTTGCTTACTGTAAACTGGTAAGTGGTGGTGGTGACATTATTAAGAATTAAAGGGGAAGATTAAAATTTGGGAATTAAAAAAAGTAAATTCAGTTTTGATATACTGTATTTGAAATAACTACATGATGCAACAAAGGTGAATACTGTTACATATATAATCCTGCAAGAACAGTAATAGTAAGAATTTACAAGTGGATATACAAACACTCAGTCTGAACAAAGGTAGGAAGGTGATTGGGACTGCAACCACAAATATGCATAGGTTTGACAGAGGCTGTCTATGTATTTATATGTGCTTCAAATAATCCATGAATGTAATAGAACATACAAGGGAAAAAGTTATGAAAATGTCTTAGTCACAACCAAACAACTTGAGGGAATGAGTTGCTGGTTATGGAGCCTCAGGACTGTAGTCTCTGGAGACACTAAGGTCAATTGGCGTAACAGTTCATTAATAAAATGTTCTACATCTTATTTTTTTGAGTAGCGACTAGGGTGTTAAATGCTTGTGAGTGGCCATTTAAGTTGCAACTATTCGTATTTCCCCGTCTGGAGCAAAGAAGAGTGAAGAAAATCAGAGACACAAGGAAATAATTAGTCCAAAGGACTAACAGAGCATGTCAACCCCAGCCACCACAACTAGGAGACTAGAGTAACTAGATGGTGCCTGGTTGCCACTGCTGACTGCTCTGAAAGGGATCACAATAAGAGGTCCCAGATAGAGTAGGGGAGAAATGTGGAAACAAATCATAAAAAAGTTGAGGCTTGCTGGTCTGATAAGGACCAGTGGAACTCCTGAGACTATAGCCCATCAAACTAGGAACCGAACTTGGGCCTTGTGACTCAATTATCCGCCAAACGATAAGCAGGCCTATAAGGTGAACAGTATGTACTTATTAGAACAATCAAGCATATGAGATCAAGGGGATAATGTTTGCCCAGGGTTAGAGCTAGGAAGGTGGGAATGGATTGGAAGGAAGGGTGAAGGGAAGGGGTGGGTGCAGATAAATAGGAAGAATGCTGTTACAATGTGGGGATTGCAAAAAAATGTCACAAAACAGAACATGTATGGATTATGCAATGGAAAACCAATCTGCTCTGTAAACACTCACCTAAATCACAATATAAATAAATAAATAAATAAAAATAAAGATGGTCTATAAAGACATAAAAAAAAAAAACCAAAAAAAACCCACTATGTGATGTTCAGATAAAGACATAAAGGACAATATATAAATATGTTTTGGGCCTGGATAGGTGTGAGTTGTACGCCTTGATATAAAGAAAACAAAAATCCTTGCAACTGGACATCACAATAAATGGAGAAAAGACTGAAGTTGTCAGAGACTTCATTTTACTTGGTTCTACAATCAACACCAATGGAAGCAGCAGTCAAAATATCAGACAACATATAGCACTGGGCATATCAGCTGCAAAAGACCTCTTTCAAGTGGTGAAGAGCTAAGATGTCTCCTTGAAGACTAAGGTGCACCTGACACAAGCCATGGTATTTTCAATCGCCTCATACACATGTGAGAGCTGGACAATGCATAAGGAAGGCCAAAGAAGAGTCGATGCTTTTGAGTTGTGGTGCTGGTGAAGAATGCTGAAAGTTGTGTGAACTGCTAAAAGAACTAACAAATCTGCCCTGGGAGAAGTGCATCTGGAATGCTCCTTGGAAGTGAGAATGATTAGGCTTCATCCATCTATTTTGGTCATGTTGTTAGAAGAGACCATTCCCTGGAGAAGGATATCATGCTTGGTAAAGTGGAAAGTCAATGAAAGAGGGCAAGGCCCTCAATAAGATGGATTGACACAGTGGATACAATGATGGGCTCAGGCATAGCTGGGATTGTGGAGTTGGCACAGGACTGGGCAGAGCTTTGTTCCGTTGTACATACGGTCGCTATGAGTCAGAGACGACTCGACGGCACCTACCAATACCAACAACAGGTATGAGTTGGTAAAATGAATAGAACCCATAAACACCACAGACATTACCCAGGAAAAATATATAGAGCACTGCTTTCCAACCTTTTCCATGTAATAACATATGAAAAATAATGATGCCATACCTGGGTAAATGAGAAGGCTACTCTAAGCCATTGTTATGAGATCTGAGGGGATCATTAGGTCAGTAAGTCTGTGCTTTGTAACATGTTTAGGAAGTTCTAGAGTGGAGTAAAAAGATTAAGAGGTTTGAGAATATAACGCAGAGTAGTATCAACATTTAAATGTAGGCAGATAAAAGAAGAGATCATTGTAAAGAGCATTCAGATGGATGTATGGTCAAGAAAATAGTGTCATGGAAGTCTAGCAAGTGTGTTAAGGACCCAACTCTTAAGAACATTTTTATATGAATAACCACCCAGCACCTCAAAACATTACAAAAACAAAACTTACTGTTCCTCAGACA